GGCCAATTATAGCTGCACCTAAATCTCGTGTTTAATTAAGAGGTGACAACGGGTGCGGCCCTAAAAGGGTCCTATTTTAAAAAAAAATTTTTTGTTTTTTTTTTTTAAAGAAATAAAAACCACTTATAACTACATGTACTAACAAGATCTACTAACAACTAAATTTTACGCTTATTCGATACCTTACATAGAGCCTTAGAGTATCGGTACGTCGTATGATGTAGATACAAAATGTATACAATTTGACCACTGAAAATATTTAAAAGTGTTTCCCCTTTGCCATAGATTCAAGTCCTTAGTAGTAATTATAGCAGTTGTTGAGGAAAAGAACGAGTTGCATAATGCACATTTTTCCCCTATTATTGTTCTTGTTCTTTTTGTACCAAAGAAATAGGATTTACTGATTGCTCATGGACTGCCTTCAGTTGTTCTGGGGGCCAATGTAGCTGTTCTAAATAACACTTTTTTAAAGCAGTTCTTTTACATCCGCGTTAAGGATGGGCAATCTGTAACTTTGAGCGGTGCGGCGAGTGATGTTTGTGGATCGGCTAATCCACATAATGCTCTCATGCTAGAACTAGAATTGATGTTAACAAAACAATCATGTCGCTTTAAAAAAGAAAGCAACTGAAATGAAGCCAGTCCTTCAAAACACCAAATTGATGGAAGGTGGAGGAGAGACTGATGCAATCTCTGCCCCGACAGTCAGGACTTACAATGTATTTAACATTGTTTTTGGTCACCTATAACGATCTCTATTTCGATTCTGATAATCATCTCTGCCTTTGTCTCTCCTTGAATTCCTTGAATAATCCTTGAAACCAAAGTCTTTGTAATCCTGGGCTTGGTGCAAAGTCTGTATTGGTTTTTTGAAAGGCCTATCTTTACCACCAAATCTCAGTTGACCAGACTCCCTTTTTCCTCCGATGCCACCTCCTAATCGTCGTGGAATCCATCCTTTAAGAGTTCTTTCCTTTTCTGAATCTACCAAAATCTCATGATCATCAATGACAATTTTATTTCCATTCTTACAGGCATCTCTAGCCTCGTAAGGATCAGAAAACTCCACAAATCCGTAACACTTTGAAAAACCAGTGACAATGTCCCGAACAATTCTGACACTTAGAATTTTTCCGAAGTCCTTAAGAGAATCTTCTATGGTTTCTTCAACAGTGTTTGGGTTCAGGCGACCAACAAAAACAGTACATTCCGGGGCTCCTTTCACAAATCTGTTGGGCTTATAAACTGCATTCAGTGCCCTAACCACACCTTTATCATGAGGGTATTCATCTGTGCCATCAATACTTCCTGCTTTCAGTGGATCATATTTGTCGACAAAAACTGGGCAGAATGATGCCATTGTTGTGTCAGCAACTGAAAGGGCTGAAAAAAAAAAGGAAAAAGAATGAGTACATATGAAAAATACACCCAGGACATACATGAATTGTTCTACTGCTACAGTCCAATC